TCCAAATTGTGCTCCTTCTTGTGCTATTTTTCCTGCTCTAGTTTTGTAGTTTGTGCTTCCAAATTGTGCTCTGTAGTTTATTCCTCGCGGAGGCCCGATACCCAAAACCTGGACTATGTAAGTTTGTGACTCGCGCGGCACTGGAATGCAGTGGGAGCCTGGGAGTTTCTGCTCCGGGCAGAACATGAGTCTCTGCCCCGCTCCGCCTGCAGCGGCCCTGCCTCTCCATTTCTGGCCAACTTCAACTTGCGGCGGAAAACACTTGACACTCTTCTCGTCTGTCCTCAAACATTAAAGTGATGTTGTCCCAAAATTGGTTGACTATCACATGACACTTCATCTCTGTACGGGGTCACATGATCACGGAATCAAAAAACAGACATTAGTTATACGTCATATACTCGGTCGGTAATACTCTGTCTATAAGTCTAGAACTTCTATAAATATGAAATCAGGCTAGACTCGAAACTATAGATAGGTTATGGTAAGTGAGGTAAGTGACGTGGCATTATTCCATGTTAAAAAAGCACTATACTTATAACTTATAACTGGGTGGGGTGGGTGGGGCGGAGGGTGGGTGGGGTGGTGGGGTGGGTGGGGCGTGGTGCTGTGGTGTGGCGTGGTATGGTGTGGTGTGGGGTGGCGTGCGTGGGGTGGGTGGGGTGTGGGGTGGGGGGTGGGGTGGGGTGGGGTGGGGTGGGGTGGGGTGGGGTGGGGTGGGGTGGGGTGGGGTCGGGCGAGGTGGGGTGGGGTGGGGTGGGTGGGGTCTGGCAGCTGGCAGGGCAGGCAGAGGGCGAGGGGTGGTGGTTGTGGTGGTGTTGGTGTTGGTGTTGGTGTTGGTGTTGGTGTTGGTGTTGGTGTTGGTGTTGGTGTTGGTGTTGGTGTTGGTGGTGGTGTTGGTGGTGGTGGTGGTGGTGGTGCTGGCGGCAGTGGTGGTGCTTCTGCCAGTGGCAGTGGCGGTGTGGTGCTAGTGGCGGTGGTGCCGGTAGTGCTGGGTTGGGTTGCGGGTGATGGAGGCCCCAAACCGATAAGCCCAGTCAGGCTTATGTTCTTGTGCTTTTCTGTTTATATAAACTAGAGTAGGGGGTATTTTCCAACTGTTAGTGGGCGGGCGCATGCATCGGCAGATATCCAATTTCCCCAACATCTCTTGCCCCCCCGCTCTTCATAGATGCCAGGATTTTAGGAATTCTGGGGAAATTTGATCCCTGCCAATGTTTTCTCATTTCAGGCTTTAGAAATGTGGGGGAAATTTGAGGATGTGCCTCTGTTAGGCGCTCTCGTCGCGCTTGCCACTAATTTCATGGTGAGTGTCAGAGTCGCGCCTGCTCTACTGCCTGTTAGACTGGTCGCACCAGCAACACTTCCTGTCGTAGCTCTAATGTTAAATAGTCGTCGCCGCCGTCATCGAAGTGAGCGAGTAGCAGTCGCCGTAGCCGTAGTGGGAAACAGGAACAAAACTGATGTCAGCAGTGGCGGTAGCAGTATAGGTCGTGGAAGAAGTACCAGCTGTAGACCGCATCTCGTCCACATCTCACCAGGTGTTGCCTTCTTCTGCTGCTCTAAAGGAACGATTCCTTTCCACTCTTGGGCCACGCAAACGAACGTTGCGACTGAGGGAGCGAAAGAGAGCGCGAGAGAGAGAGAGAGAGAGAAGAAAAAAAAAGGAGAGAGCGGGAGAGAGAGAGAGAGAGGGAGAGATCGTGGTAACAGTAGTAGTCGTCGTCGCAGCAGCAGCAGTAGTAATAGCACATGTAGTCGTAGCAGCAGCACATAGTAGCAGCAGTCTACATTGCATGGTCCTGTCGCTGTCAAAATCAATCTCTTCGAGAGTGATCTCGCCAGATGTGTCTTTGTCCAAGAGGTTGAAGAGCTTGTAGCAGTCGCCCATGTAGCCTGTCGCGGTGCGCAAACTGTCAGTCCTGTTTGCCAGCTGCCGTGTGAAGTGCGATGCAAGTTCAGAGTCTGGCCGTAGCATGGTCACTGGAATTGTGATACCGAGTTTCTTGTCTTATGCAACCTCAGACCTCTAGTCTTCAACGGTTCGGGCACGGCAATGGAAAAGTCCGAAGAAGCGATCCGCTGCTGCTTTGACTCGCTTGCAACATCTGGCTAGCCAGGCTGGGCTTTGAGGTTTGCTACCGGAATCGCATACCAGGAAGCCCAGTTTGCGCATGCCATTCTGGAACTCCACTCTGCTGATTCGCTGGTCATTGTTGCTGTCGAAGACCTGCGTGCTTTTTGCTCCGGCTCAAGATTTCAGCCATGTTGGCAAAGCTGTGCAAGGGAAGGCTGCAAGTGCAACAGGCGACTGAATCAAGCCAGGGCACGTGCGCCCAAGCGCGTAGCACAGAGCCACAGCATTCTTTGCAGAACCTTAGTCTGGCGTGAGGCATGGGCAGCCTTGCAAGCCATGCATGCAAGGCACCCGAACCTTTTCGCTCCAGCTTGGGGTTGAAAGGTAGATCCTTCCCCCCTCTGGAAAAGCACCCGAGACCCCTAACCCCAACGTTGCCGACAACCTCCAAGAAACCTCGGCCACAAACCTTCCAATTCACAACCCAGAATCCGCAAGGGGTGGGACCTTGGTTTACCCTGCCGCAATCTCCCCAGAGACCCTAAACTTCGTAAGCAACAACAACATCTGGAGATCCGAAGCCTCGGTTGGACTTGGGGGGGCGAGGCGCGAATCTACATGGGCCTTAATAACCTTAAAAAGTCGAACAGGGTTCTTGCGGCATGCTACATTCTAGTTATTCTGATTACATTGGGACGATATGAGGCAACATGATTATTCCTACTCCCATACTACACTTCGGGGCTTGAGGTCAACTTGAGGCTCAGCACCGAACTCGTCACCGGGCGACTCTTTGAGGCGCTCGGCGGCCAAGTCCTGTGCCTCGTCTTCATCCAAGTTCCTGGAAGAAGGGATACACGGCATGAGTGTTTTCCTGCGTGCTAGCTCTCCCGAAACAGGCAAAAAAAACCCTCTTCAAGGAAAACTCCAACGGCGGCTCAGGAGACTGCGAGCACAGCTTGAGAACGACCGATCTTCAGCGCAACATGAAAATACGACGCCTGAACAAAGAAGCTAGGTTCGTGATGCTTGCCTCTGCTTGCAAAAAATACGGCACACAAACAACCACCTCCATTTCTCAGGTTTTTGACAGGGCATCCCGTCAGACCAAAGGTTGCGAGCAACCGAGCAGCGGCAGTGGCGGCAGCAGCAACAGTGCCAAAAGCAACAATAAGAACAGCAGCAACAATGACAACAACAACACCACCAACACCAACACCACCAGCAGCAGCAGCAGGAACAGCAGCAGCAGCAGCAGCAGCAGCAGCCGCAGCAGCAGGAACGATGACAACACCAACGATGAAAGCAGTAACAGCAACAGTGGCAGCAGAAGCAACAACGGCAACTGTGACAACGGCAGGTCAATAGCAACAAAAGCAGCAGCACCAACAACAACAGCAGCAGCTGCTGCAACAGCAGCAACAGCACAAACGGGAGCAACAACAACAGCAGCACCGACAGCAAGAGCAAGAGCAACAGCAACAGCAGCAGCTGCACTGCTGCTGCTGCAGCAGCAGCAGCAGCAGCACCACCACCGCCACCACCACCACCACCACCACCACCACTCGACATACACGCATAGAGTTTGGCCAACCTTGCTACTAGTTTTCTTTCTAGCAGTGCTAGGACCACCCGTTATTGTATAACTACAACGGCTAGACGGGATGCGGTGGCGGTTCTAGTAGCAATTGGACGCAGCAACCAGCTCAAGCAAAAGGAGTATGCAGCGGCGGTGGCGGTGGTAAAACAAGTAGTAGCAGCAATTCTTACGGCAATAGAGTAGAAGCAGGAGGGGTATTCGGGATGGAATGTGCAGCTTTTTCGGAGGTCGAAGCCAAGCCGCTCGATATCGCGCAAGTCGAAAACTGCCGAGTCCGAGGTAGCCTGGCGACATGCTCACAGGCTGATCAGAGTTTGGGTGCCAGGCTCCTCAATTTTGCCTCCCGCAAGTAAGTCTGGATCGCAATGCAGACAGACTACGCTCTGTCATCGGCTAGTACTTCAGGGAAAATTCGGCAAGATGCCACAGAAGCTGGAACGCTGAGTTCCGTGAACCCTCAAAAGTTGAAGTGTTTCTGCTGTGCTGCAGAAGCTCTACGCAGATTTCCGTTATCATCTTATATACATACACATACGTACACACGTGAATAAATACATACGGACATACACAAGTACGTACATACATACCTACCTACCTACCTACCCACCCACCCACCTACCTACCTACCTACCTACCTACCTACATACATACATACATACATACATATGTGCGTACATGTGTTCGTGATCTTGATCACGGGCCTTCGGTGTGAGGATCGACCCCTTGGACTTGGTGACGGCCAAGACAGCGGGGCGATGCTGCCTACGGAACTTAGACTCAGACATGTTGGACGCTGGGGGGGCTTAGGGTTCGACGCGCCCAAATCGTAAGGTGTTGCGATCTTCGGGCTTGCGGAGGCTCCGAGCGATAGGGTTTTCATGACTCGGAAGCTATAGCTTCTGAAGGGAAAGCGGGGCGGCTCCAGGGTCCGATAGTCCAGCGACATGTAGCAATGATACGGAAGAGTAGTGGCGCTGGCGGCAGCAATAAGCAGAAAGAAAGCAGTAATAGCTCCAAGCAATAACGAGACGGGCAAGCTGTACCCGTACCGAATCCTGACAACATGAGTCACCGTCATCGCTATCATCATAAGTGCAAAGATGAGACATCACGGATGTGCAAGTTCTTAACATTAGTAGCACGCAGTCAGTGGCAACAAAATGTAGGATTAACATGCAAAATTCGTGTCAACAATGAACAACGAATACTGCTATGCGTAACAAAAGCTTAGAAGTAATGGCGTAGTAGCTTAGTAGCTGCAACACTGATACTAGGAGAAGGGTATTCGCAACAGCAGTACTGAAGAAGCTGATGGCGACGTGATGACCAGACTCGGAACTGAAGTAGTCATCATCTTGCTCATGAATCATCACCACAATAACATCAAGAATCAAGAATAACACGAAAAATGGTACTCCTGCAACTGACCCGGCCTCGGCCTTATCATCGCCATCTTGTGGACAGGAGACGCAGGCCCATGGCTCAAAGGCTGCGGGGCTCTTTGGGCTTCCTGGATCCGGGGCTCTAAAGCTTGTGGTGCCTACGGTGCTGCGGTTCAGGGTCTCGGGGTCCGGATTTATAGGGTTTAGGAGACTTTTTTTGTTGCTAGGGTGTTCAGCTTTGGTCAGGTGCGTCTGCCCAACATCTTGGATACTTCTTTTGGCCGCGCGGGAGTTGTGCGGGAAGTGACTGTTGCCCATGTGGGAATGATGAGCAGGTACTGGAGCCCGGAAGAAAGTCATGAAGGGATGGAAGGCGAGGTTTGGGCTTACTTCTGCGCTCCAGTCTCTGTCTCTGACTGTGTCACATGCTAGCAGTGAGCTTACGGAGGACTAACATAGCCGTGTAATTTAGAACTGCAGACAAGAAGTATCTAGCTGGTTCGGTGACCGACTAGCAGCAATGGAAGCCTGCATTGAAACAGCAGCAAAACAAGATCTGACTGTGCGAGAGGCTTGTCTGCAGCAGCATTGCTGCTCGCCTGCACAGCATGGTCCCACCAAGCTTAGATCAGCTGGGTACCTCTGAACTGTCCTCAAAACGGACTGCTGAACTACACAACTACCTGCAACCTGCGCGCTGTCGCCACAATCTCCTTACTCATTGGACTTTGGAAGTTGGGGTGCTTGCAAAGCCAAGATATGCAGATGCACATGTGACCACTGTTTGGAAAAGACAGGTAAAAGCAAGCAAAGCAAGCAGTTCCCAGCCGCACGAGTAGTTTGGATGCAATGGTGGTGTAGGAAAGTGCACCTGGACCGCGATCTGATTTCCTCTACTTGCTCCACGAAAGAAAAGCGAATCGCCCGCAACTAGGGAAGGCGCCCCGTGTGTTCCGGAGAAGGGGCTTGCTTCTTGCCCCAAGACCAGGTGTCCAAGAGCGGAAGTCGGACCCACCAGAGTGACTGATCCAAGCGTTCGTGGTCTTGGGGTGTTACAGGGCGGGAAGCAGGGGTGGAATGCGGTGACCGGAGAGGTCCAGAGGAGCACTTGCAACCTGTCTGGGTCAAGTGAGCCTGCAGCGCAGGTCCGTCAATCTTTTCAGAGGCAAGTGGAGCAAGCAGGATAAGGCGAATGGTTTTTCCCGACCCGCTGGGAGAAAGTAAAGCAAAGCAAGCAGGAAGAACATAACAACTAGTAGATCCAGCTGCGGCAAGTGACTTGACCATTGCCTTGTGAGCAATACTAATTCTCATGCCTCCCATCATTTTCATTTTCGTCGCCGTTTGGAAGTGCAAGCTAGTACTCACAGGGACTACGTTTAGCCGCCTTGGTGTTGCCGCTGTCAATGTGCACCCGGTTTCTGCTGGCACCACTATAATAGAAAGCTCGGCTGGCTCATCCCATGTCCGGCGACTGGGGCTGGCTTTGGTAAGGTTTCCGGGTGGAGAACAACATTCAGTGATATCTGTTCTTTTGTACTGAGTGGCGTGTCTCAGGCATCTACAAAAGGTTCAAGGAGCGCCCACCATCTCCTCCTTCCTGGTGCACAGGGTACCCGTCCAACATTTGGGCAGGCAACACAGGTGCAATCATATTGGTAACGAGCACCACGAGCGAAGCTGTTCACGATGATAGTTCATCATGGGCCAATCACAGCGGCAGTGAAATGTTGCTGCTGATGCTCGCACTATGACAAGAAGTATCATCTCTAGGCTCAGCAGCACCATGTGGCACAGACTTGTACCTGCACCTTAAACAGCCCTAAACAATCCACCCTCAACTCTCAACCCTGTTTTGTTCACTCAGAATCTGCCAATCAACTCTCAACCCTAAACTTCCTAAACAACCCTAAACAGTCCACCCTCAACTCTCAACCCTTAACCCTAAACCGACACCAGCCTCCCGAGGCCGACCGACTCTCCGTCGAGCGATGAGGCGCACATGGCGGGAGCTCATAAGCGGAAACCCTTGTGAGGGGCCTTGAGGATTCGGGTTTAGGGCTTATAGGGTTTAGGGTTTAGGGGTTTAGGGGTTTAGGGTTTAGGGTTTAGGGGTTTAGGGGTTTAGGGTTTAGGGTTTTTTTCCCTCCCACTTAGGGTTTAGGGGTTTAGGGGTTCCCTTAAAGGGTTCCTTTTGGGTTGTGTATACGGCTTCATATAGGCTATAGGGGAAGCTTGGGGCTATATGTAGGCTGAGGCAGAATACTGAATTCTCTGCCAACAGCTCTAGTTTTTTTTGGCATGGAAATCGACTGAGACGGCCACCTTGCTCATGATGCTGCGTTGCCATCCTTGCGAAACCCTCCGTTGCTAGCAACAGCCTCAAGATAACGAGGCGGGCGAAGTGCCTATAGTGACTATTGCATCGTCTGCATGAAAAAGGAACTTCCAGGACCAGGAGTGCAAATAGCAAACAGGGCCTATGCACTGAGCTGCCTTCTGGGAGTGTGTCATCTTTGGCAGGCTACAATAGCGAGCTTACTTCAGGATCGGTACCGCGACGGACGGGTAACCACTTTCGCATCAGCACGCTTGACTCCAACTGTGGCGGCCAGCATTTGGGGGCGTTCCCTGTGATGCTTTGGCGCGAACGGGATCAAAAGCTGAAGCAGCAATGAAGAGAGCCTAAACCATGTTCTTGAACATGAGGCTGTTCATGTGCAGGGACGCAACTTTACTCTCAAGATGGCTGTAAGCCCTCACGACTCGCACAAGGCAGGCAAGCCCTAGATTTATGTGCAAGGGGCCAACTACTCTACAGCTTTTACACTGCCTAAACCCTAAACCGGCACTGGCCGAGGTTCTCTGAGGAGCCGAGCTCTGCAAAGCCTCCTCTGCACCAGGTGCAGACCTGCATCCGAAGCCCTAAACTAAACCCTAAACCCTAAGCCCTAAACCCTTTTTGCAACAGGCTTTCCACTTCGCCCGGAGTTGGAGCAAGCCCTAAACCCTAAACCCTAAACCCGGTTTACTATTGGGTTTTAGGTTTTGCGCAATAAATAACAGCGGCAACAAGGGACCGTCATACAGACCCCACAAATACGACCCCTAAGCAAGGACCGCTGCTTTCCTAGTGTCACCAGGAGCGCAGCCCTAAAGCCCTAAAGGCAGAAGACTACAAGGAAGGAAAAATCAAATCATTCACAACATTAGCGCTGGTAGGAAAAACTCCTAGAATATGTTTAACTGACAAGAATAAGGGGCAGTGGACGAACCCCAAGCCTAGACACTAAAGCCCTGAACAAACCCTTTCTGCACAGGCACAGACTTGTCCACAAGGCAAGTAGTTAGTTGAGAAACTCGCCGGCAGGGTCGCTGGCAGATGCGCCGAGGACCAGCAAGACGGGTCAATAGTGGAAAACGGGTTTCGGGGTGTGAGTGAACCAGTACAGTAAAATAATTAGGGACTATAAGGGGGCCCCTAAACCCTTTTTGAAACCGGACTTGATGACTGCCAGCCCTAAAACCTAAACCCCTACTGCACAGATTTGTTCAGACCTCCGTGGTACGCAACCGCACACTGCAAAGAGGCGGCTGGTTTTGACCGGCTTTTCGGAGCTAGACCATGTCGGTAGCCCGCCTGTGCGCAAAGGTCAAGCCTTCGCGCTGCAGGACAAACAGGTTCTCTCTGTACTTTCTACAGCATCCTGCCGCCACTTTGGCTCGCCCTGCATTACGTAAGGAAATAAAGTGAGCAATTGCTCGCCACGCATCTGTACATGTACACCGACTCTACCATTCCGCAGAAGCCTGGGCGTGGAGTTTAGAAGGCTCAAGGAAAAGCCAGGAAGCTTAGTATGCAAAGCTTTCTGAACGAATTGCCGAGGAAGAGAAGCCTGCAGCAGTCCACATGTCTCTGGCAGCAGAGTCGAAACCTGCTGGGCCACATATGAAGGCTTCGATGGTCTCGTGGGGTTGAATTGCTTTGGCTGGCAGGTGATCTGTCAACACCTTTGTCGACAGCCTGCCGGCTTCAACCTGCAGGGAGCTGATGGAGTTCTGCCTCAGCATCCCCTCCAGCTTCCTCCTCTCCTTCGATGCATCCGGCCCAGTCAGCAGGAGTATGACTCGATAAGTGACGCGCAACTGCACAAGGGTCCTACCAGCCGAGGCCAGCAGCTCCAAGAAAGCCGCTTCTGAGAGCTCACGAACTGAGTAGAAGATTGTGAGAGTCTGAGGACGGGGGCCCGATTCTGCAATCGCGGTAAGAGCCGCCACTGCCGGGGTCAAGCCAATCCCAGCTGTCAAGAACACGGAATGTCGTGGCATGGCGATCTGGCTGCGCAGCTCGCCGCTGCTGGGATCAAGTTGTGGGCCAAATTCACCCGAGAAGCCAAGAAAGTGTATGTTGGCTCCCTTCATTTCCTCGCGGCTGAGCTTGTGCAGCCATGTCGATGCCAGGCCGCCACGCTTCAGCTTCACTGAGATCTGGAAGCGACCATGGTCTGCAAGCCACTGAGGCGAAGAGGTTACCGTCCAGGTTCTTTCGGCTGGCGAAGCTTCCGTCCCCAGCGCAGGAAGCGCAAGCCGGACATGTTGCCCTGGCTTCAAGACAAGCGATCCTGGCTTGGGAAGCGGTGCCAGTTGAAACTCGAAGGTCCTGACATCCCGGGACTCTTGGCGCACCCACTGGAGAACTGCCAAGTACTCCGGCCCCAATGCTTTTGGCCGGGGATTGTACGGGCTCAGCTCTACCTTCTCATAGACGTGAGGGCTGTATCGCGGGATGGAGCGGAGACTCTTCACCGACATCACCACCAGTCTCAAGGCCTGCGGTTCCTCCCCTAGGACTCTGAGCAGCTCTGCATCCACGACCTCGGACCTCTCAACCGTGCAGACACTTCCGGCAACTTGAACACCATGGCCTGTGGCGTCCCAGTCCACGAACACCAGACTGGCAAACTTCTGCAACTGCACATTGCCCAGGCTCATGTAGAATCCGTTCCCTGTGTAGTCTGGCCAGCAGATTGTACTTCCACCGTGCAGGACGCGCACGAAACCTGGGGAGCCACCACGAAGGTTCATGTCAGCTCCATGCTCTGCCGTGCCTGTTCCAAAGTACATGTTATCTGCGCTTGTGATGATGGCAGTTTCCAACTTGCCGACATTGGATGCCTCCATCACCGGCTCGCTGGCAAACTCGAGATTCTTGCCCATCTTCCGAACTCTGCGCCTTGTGATGTATTTCGGACAGTTTCCGAAGGCCTGGCGGACCCGGATCGAAAAGTGTCCGTTTTTGTGGACCTGTCGGATGACTCCATTGAAGCGATTCCGCCGTCGCGACATGAAGTCGATGGCAAGCGCACCGACCATAATTCTTGGCTTCATCATCCCAGCAGTTGCTGCTGCATCGCGCGGGTCAAGGGCAGCCGCGATATCGATGTGAGTTCCGTCAGAGGTCTCGCAGTCAGCAAAACCCGGTCGTGCGAAGATGAGAGAGGACCAGCTAGCGTTTGTGTCAGGATCGAAGAAACTGACCATGAAATGCGGCTGCGGGCCGACCATGTCCCTCCACGACTCAGGAATGACTTTGTGGTAGATGTGCGGCCCCATCTCATCGGAAGAGTGGACGGTGCCCTGCTTCTTCTGAAGCACTCGTTCCCCAGCATGCCACGGTTGCTCAAGCTTCAGCAAGCCAAGCGCTCCTGGAAGCCCCATCGCAGGAAAAATCGGGCTCAATTGCTGCGACTCCTTGAGCAGTATGCTTCCGCCGAGGCCGGGGTTGCGACTCTCACGCTCGGCGCTGACAGGCAACGAAGCATGCCGCACACCCAATTACAGCCAGTCAGGGAGTGGCAGCATTTACATGCTGCTGCCAGCATCACTCTGCCAGAACAACCCAAAAAATCCTGAAGCAACGAGCAAAATCATTGCTCAGCAGCGCCTGGTTGGCGAAGCCTGCGCATAGCAAACGGGAGCTTGAAGGACCCTCAACTCTTCACATGGGGCACTGCAGGTTCGAACATCGCAACCTTGCAGCACAAGGGATCGATTCAAGTGATGAATGTGTATTTGCGGACACTGCGGTGATACAGTAAGTGTGGCATCAGCACTTATTTCTGGCTTCTAAGAATACATCACTATCAAATCAATCCCTTTCTACTACGTCTCTCTCCCTCTCTCTCTCTCGTGCTCTCGAGGTTCGTGCAAAGCCATTGCTACAAACATCCGCAGTGTCCCATTCGCCACATCACTCCAGATGCCTGAGCTGGAGCTTCGTAACCCACTTCGCAGGAGATGCACCGGAGTCTGAAATGATACCCCGTTCCCACAGCTGCGTAGCAGATAAGGGAAGAAGCAAAGAGAAAGAGTCCCAGGATACAGGCGCACCCTTTTTTCTACCTATCTAAGTATCTCTCTGTCTATCTGTCTGTCTATCTCTCTGACCCTTTACTGCCTATCTAGCCATCTATCTATCTTTCTATCTATCTGTCTATCTACCTATCTATGTATCCACAAGTGGCTATTACATGTTTGTTTGTCTATCTGTCTGTGTACACAATCAATCTAGCTAGCTAGCTGTCTGGCTTTCTGTCGTTCTACCTGTTCACCTGTCTATCTGCCCGTGTTTGTACACGTACACACGTGTGTGCGGAGGTGTGCAGATGTGTAAACCTACCAATTACCAATATGATTTGTTCTGTCCCCCGTGTGTGTTTGTGTGTGTGCGCGGTCACGTACGTAGGTATGTGGGTATGCATGAAATGTAATGCAACGCAACATAATGCTGTGTAATGCAATGTGATTTAATCTGGTGTACCTGATACAAGATCATGTAAGGTGATGTGGTGTAATGTCACGTCATGCCATGTAATATATGCATGACTGTGTGTAGCATGTATGGGCTGTATTAGTTGCATTGTATGTTTTGTGTTGTGTTATGTTGTATTGCAAATTACCGTATGGTACTGCATGGTATTCTTTATTTGTTATTTTGTATGTAGTGTATTGTGTGGTATTGTCTGGTATTCATGTAAGTTTGTGCGTGCATTATGTACTTTAGTATGTACGTGCTTGCGAGTGTAGCAGAAAGTGTGCGTGCATGCATGCATGCACACGAACAGACATACGCACATAACTACATACAAACATACATCACATATGCATACATGCTTGCATACGTCCACACATGCAGGCATCCATGCATCGATCCACGCATGCAGACAATCCCACATGCATGTGCATTTACATATATAATAATATTATATACATGTACATATTATACATATTCACATTCACATTCGTATTCGTATTCGTATTCGTATTCGTATTCGTATTCGTATTCATACATACAATGTCCGATGGTCTGGAATTCCTGTGGAACCGCAGCATCTACACTATATACTGCAGCTTGGGAGAGCAAGGCGTCCGTGATCCTATGCTGCGCCTTGGCACGCACCTTCGCCGGTGTCGTAGAGGAGCGGCCTTCCTGCCACGCAGACCCGCTGCTTCTACCATGGCTCCGCCAGGAAAGTTGATGGAGACACCGAAGCAAAATGCATTTGTCCGCCCCCGGCACATTTTCTGAGTGCGACTAAGGCATCATTGTGCCTCTGTCTGGACTGCATGGGCTCATAGAGCCCTGAGAGTCCTCCTCTGGGATGGGAGGCATCCCTGAAAAGGCCTCGAAACAGGCCTCCCTTTCTGGAGCCTCTGCAGCTGTCAACTCCTCCACCAGTAGTTTCCTGGGTTCTTGTTAAGGGACTTAATTTTAACTACCATAATAAGGAAACCATATTATTCACTATAGATCCCTATTATGGTAACTTAAATTAAATCCTAGTTTCAGGGTGGCCACGGCCTCCGCAAGGCGCTCGCGCTTGGCCTCGGGGGTGGCTTTCGGAGGGAGCCCAAGGAGCTCCAGCAGAGGCCGCCGCTGGCGAAGCAGCTCTGCCTCATGGATCTCCAGACCCAGGATCTCCTGCTTAGGGCCTTAGGGAATTATAGGATCTCCTGCTTCATGTAGGGGCCTTGATAATTAGAATAGGGCTTTAGGGGTTCCTTCTTATAATTATAGCATAATATACCCCCAAACCCTATTCTAATTATTAAGACCCCTTTGTTAGGGATTAGGGAATTATAGGGGTTATAGGGTCTCAGTAGCACAGGCCTGGAAAGTCGGTGTTGCGACTTCTGTCAGCACGGTTTCCAAAGCCCCGCACAGAGGCAACTTCGTCTCGTATCGTGGCTCACATGTTTCTTTCTCTGGACTGTGTGGAATGCTCTTTGGGAGATGGTCCTGCCTTCTCCCCTTTCAGTGAGTCTTTTGATGGTCCTGTTCATGTTCATGCTGTCAGGCATCTGTTCTTTGCTGCTTCTGAACCTGGCTACCGATCGAGATCAGCCTAGATGTGGACAGACCATGTTGCTGTCATCTTGCCTTTCACGGTGCTGTCGACCGGACCTCGCTGGACTATTACCAGTTGCCGTTGCGCTACCCTGCTGCACCTCTACCAAAGACCGCCGAATGTAACAGGGTCAATAGAGCTTGTGTATGTGTGTATGGGCCACTCTGTATATGGATAGCTAAGCAGATGCAACGAAGGCAGGAGGGCAGAAGGTAGAGAAGCAGAAGCCACACAGCGAGATGTCACCAAAGGCCGAGGTCAGATCCCATCGAGTCACCAGCAGCCCAACAGCCGAAACATGCTCAGACAAACAAAGAGAACGCCAGGAAGTCCCAAAAAAAAGCATCGCAGGCTTTCAACCAGCGCTCCTGCTGGCGCCGCGTCTCTGCAAGCTCGAGGCGAGCACAGCGCAGCTCTTCGGCGGCTCGCTGTTCTGTCGCCCGCTCGGCAGCGCGGAGCCGCTGGATTTCGACGTCCCGCTCCGCCAGCTCGGCCCGCAGGACCTCGCATTTCGCCCGCTCTCGCACGCACTGCTCGATCTGCTCGATGCTCTCCTTGGCCGCCATCCGTGGGCTCATCTTCGGTGGCGGGGAGCCGGCTGCAGCTTGGACAGCTTGCGAGGCTTGCGAGGCTTGCGTGGCTTGCGTGGCTTGGGCTTGGACCGCCGGGCGTTTTTCCGCAAGCCGGAGCTGCTCCTCGCGGTCGTGCAGCATGAGCGCCATCTTCTCCAAGGCCCGTCGGCTCTCGTTCAGCTCGGTCTGGAGTTCCAGCTCCTTCTTGGACTCCGTGTGTCTCTCCCTCGAAGCTGGCTCTGGTTCGGGCAACCGCGACGAAGAACTGCTGTGGCTTGGAGCTGGGCTGCCCGCACCACACAGTTGCTGTTTGCCCAGTGTGCACTCCTTCAACAGCGCTTGCAGCAGTTCGGCGCCACTCATCGCGGGAGGGTCTGGCGTGCTTGCCCCGACCTTCCGCTCTTCAGCACTCAAGCTGCCAGGCCTCCTCACAAGCATGCGAGATCGTGGTTTGGGCTCGTCCGGCTCTTCGTGCTCTTCGAGGCGGGCAGGTGCGGTTGCTGCCAAGGCATCCCTGTACTGAACCGGCCGCCAGTCGTGCTCCCGATACCGCAGTAGCTGCTGAGTCATCCTGGCCACATTCCTGGCAAAGGCATCCTTTGCGTCGGCAACAGAGTCGGAGCAGGCGGTGTAATGTCCCACATGGAAACTGTCTTTGTGTGACTGGCTAGCTCTTCCAGCCATGCATCGAACAAGCCGTCGCACCCGGCCACTCGGCTCGACTCTGCCGACGGGTGCGAGTCTAAACTCATCGGCTGATGTTTGCTAGAGGTTGGCTTATGTTGGGGTTGTGTGGTGCCTTTTGCTTTTACTTCTCCCGTGGTGAGGCCCGAGGCTGCAGCGTGTAAGATGCAGAAGCAGGTGAAGGGTCTGGGGGGCCCACTGGACCCCGAAACTTTTTAGAGAGCCCCCGGCACAAGCAGGACAAGTACCCTTTTGTGTGATACACAGTTCATCAAAATCCCATAGTCGCCAAGATCTTAGTTGGGCGTCGTTCCTCATGGTTTATTGGCCAGCAATAGCAACAGCAATATCAATAATTTGTCGCAGTACATGCAACAACAACATTCACAGCATTTAAAATTTAAAATTATCGACAATCATAACAGCAACACCACCAACAACAAGAGCAACAACAACAATAACACAAATGACACAAACCACATCAGCACCATCATTATCATCATCATCAACAACAACAACAGCAGCAACGCCAGGGCCAATGCCACGGGTCCAAAACAAGCGCAACCGGAGCCGCAACAGCAATAGCAACAACGAGTCACAACATCATCAACAGCAACAACAACGACGACAACGAGCAACGACAACGACAACAACGCCAACGCCACTGCCAACGCTAATGACAACGAAATCCGCAACCGCAGCCGCCACAGCAGCAGAAGCAGCAGCGGCAGCAACAGCGGCAGCAACAGCAGCAGCAGCACCAACAACAACAACAACAACAACGACAACGACAACGACAACGACAACGACAACAACAACAACAGCAACAGCAACAACGACAACGACAACGACAACGACAACGACAACAATTTGCAATTGAACGCAGTG